GGTGAGTGGTCACCTCGTTAGGTCGAGTTATCATGACGATGCTGGCTAGAGCCTAATGACTCATCATCAGGCGAAGAGACCACATCCAACGGGGTTTTGTCCTTTAGAAAGGGCAAGAGGAGGGACACGAAAGGAGGACGTAGGGAGGTACAGAATTTCTTCTACTACTTCACCTCCTCCTAAAGTGAGTAGATGAGTCAACAGTTGTCCCCGCAACTAGACCTCTTAGCAAGCAATCGAGAATATCGAGCAGGAGGGACTAGTGAGGTGTTTTTGCCCTCAGGATAGAAGCGATGGACAGTGGACTAAATAGCCTGTAGCCAAAAGGGAGTGAGGGCAGGGATGGGGACAGGAAAAGAAGGGCTATTAAGGGGCTGGAGAAGAGGGAGTGGGGGGGGGGGCGGGAAGGTAGCAAGCAAACGACCAACCAAACAGGAGACAGGAGGAGAACAACGGCTTTGCCATTACCGCGAGCGAATGCTGCTCGGAGCACTTAAATGCACAATAGTCTACGATTGCAGGGCTCAGTCTCTTCCATCCACTTATCCTTCTCTCTCCCATACCCCAGAACAAAAGCTAACTAGCAGTTTAGAAACTTAAGAAAAGCCAATCAATAAGAGTGAAGAAGAGGGATTTTACCATATACCCAACACGCACAAATGGTATTCATAGCAAGACTAGTAGATGAGGGAAGATACATTACTTGGTCAAATAGGAAGGATTCGTACCATAAAGAGCAATGTCTAGTCAAATGTTCACCAAAAGTAAAGGGAAAAGTTAGGCAGAAAGAGAGAGAAGAGATCGTTGAACCGCAAATTTAACTAAGAGTGATGATGCAAAAGCAATTGAGCTAGGAACTTCAAATACTCGGGGGCGGGGGGGGGGGGGGGGGGGGGGGGGGGAAGGAGAAGAAGGGAACATATAAAAAATATTTCCAAAAATGGAAATAAAATTCGACTTCGGGGGATTATATTGCAAACATTTCACAATGTAGTAGAGTCCAAATCCACGCCTCCACAAGTCTACATAGGATGAGAAATTAACATTTTCGATTCTCCTAGTTTTCACGTATTGAGAACAACGTACAAACCCCCCCCCCCCCCAAAGGAGTCAGAGATAGTATGCCCACTCTAGCTCAAATCATTGCCTATTCTTTTAAACACAAGTGCTTAGACAGAAAAGTTATCATGTCTAACTTCATGAATGGAACTTCAATTTAAATTCAATCTATCGAATACGTTGCCTGTAATCTGAAGGCTGGAAATGAAGTCACCAACATTGAAATACTTCTGGCTAGCAAAGTCGCCGATCAAACCTATAATACACTTTGCATTCAAGGGGGCATCTGCACAATAATACAGCAAAAAAAGGATGTTTTATTAGTCTAAAAGTGGTTTACCTACTTCCGCTGGGTCTTAATGTTTTCCCAGAACCAAGGCGATCTCTGATGATAGAATTAAGGCGTATTAAGGGCCAATCCTAACAAAGATATGCCATCCCTCATTACTTTAAACCAGAATGGGGGCGCGCCCATTAATACTGATCTATGAAGGAAAAGCCCAATATGAATTTCCCATTTAGACCAGGAGAAGGGGGGAGGGAAGGGGTTTTAGTGCGCTGTGATCATAAAAACAGAACCTTATATAAAAGGAGAAGTTGTAAGATTGTAATCTCTTCCTTTGAATCAAACTGCGAAAGTGAAACAGAAATGCTATAAGGAGACATTCAACTAAAAAGGAGTAGACTGTTGATACACAGACATATATAAGGCAACAATTCAATAATTAGCGAACTCAGTTAGTAAAGGGTTCTAACCTTTATCTGAAGACAACTCCAACTGGATCGGAGTGATATATATATATATATATATATGAATAGAAGCATATACATATTTCTTGAACCCCACCCTATGCAAATGACTTGAATCCTAACTTCAATCCTCCTGGAAAACGCCACACAATTGGGTCCCAGTATTTATTTATTTATAACAAATGGCAGGCGTTTTGATAGTTGTCATTATCCCTTTAGTTGACTTCGGGCTTCACAGAAGGGAGGAGGAACATCAAAGTGAGAAGAATTCAGGAGGGGGAATAGAAGGGTGTTTCAAAGATGTAAAAGAAACAGACACAAAGGCTCAGAAAGGGTAAGATGAGAAGTGGTAGGGGTCGAACATGACATACAGTGGGGGTGATGGTAGTTTGAAGTGAGAAGTCAACTGCCGATCAATAGACTTTTTTGCCGCATGAGTATACGTTGCCCAGGGTGCACCACGTGGAGGTAAGTCTATCGTACACCCCTAATTGGGTCCCAGTACCTACCTGAATAAGACTTTATCACCCTATTTCAATGCACTTTTGCAATTATCTCACACCAAGACAATTAACCAATACATCCAACTTTGTTTTTTCTTGGTTTGACCCTCTGCTTGACCTATTGTTCATCTCGCACCCACTGGATTTCCAATCCTAATCGTGGTGGAAATTCTATGAGTTAGAAGAAGACAAGCTTGCCATACATTTTCGCTCATCTTATATCCACTATCAGTACCCTATAGATAGAACGCTTATCGGTCGGTTCATATTGGACAGCTTAGATGTACGCCTAATACACACTTGGCAACAAATGATCATATATATGCATATGGGTGAAGTAGGCTACAACGAGCAAAGATTGGCATTCCCGAGGTGTACATATGCTTAGGCGTTATAAACTAGAAGAAGTATGGGTGTATACGGAAGGTAGGTTGGTCTATGCTTCAAGGACTCTTAAAACAAAAAGTAAACAATTTCAGCTATTAAGAGAAATTAACACGAATCCTGATGCAGTGGGCATAAGAATAGAAGTAGCTAAAACCGATGGGAGCAAAAATTCTACGATAATGCATCAATGTGTGCAGAAGTAGACAGAAATTAGATGACGGAGCTACATCTCTGCATACCGATGATCAAACGAACGGGGAAAAACACTGCGAATCGACCACATAATGGACGAAAACGGTCTATTCAATTGCAGAACAAAACAATAAATGAGCTACATAATTAGCAAATTGGCGTTATGCAATACGCATATTGGGTGGGCCCTCCATAGAGACTCAACTTCTGGTAGAACCGATTATTGACCAGACTTGCGCACATTACGGTTGGCCATTTCACTCTTCAGGTACGTATTAATGAGCATTGATTTTTTTATAGGCATTAGACAAGTCTGGGATCTAAGTGCAACTGGAGAAGTTTAGGGATCGTAAGTAAGCTCAGAGTTAAAGAGTGCCTTGTCATTTCTGTTGGAATGTCAAGAACCTCAAGTGCTCCCCTCTTTCACTCAGTCACTTGTAAGTCTCCACAGCAGCCTTAAACCACGTACTTGGAGCGTAGGGGGGGGGGAGGGGGAAGGGGAGGGGAGATTATGATTTTAAAAATTGCCAGTGCTTACTGTAATCGTGTTATCACCAAAGCTTCTCTCAAACTACAGCTGGTATTCATGTGTATAGGTGAGTGCAGACTATTTGTCTATGTAACATATTTATTTCAAATGGCAGGGGTTTTATGATACTTATCATTTGCCCTTTAGTTGACTTCGGGCTTCACAGAGGGAAGGAGGAATATCAAAGTGAGAAAAAGTGGAGAGGGGGGGGGCAGGAGAGTGTTTCAAAGAAGTAAAAGAGACAGACAGACAGACACAAAGGCAGAGAAGAGAGAAGTATGGTGAAAGTGATCGAATATGACATACAATGGGGTCATGGTAGTTTGAAGTCAGAAGTCAACACCCAGTCAATAGACTTTTTACCGTATGAGAAGACGTTGCCCGGGGTGCACAGTGTGGAGGTAAGTCTATCGCACACCCCGTCTATGTAATGTATGTTCTCTCTCTCTCTCACTCCCTCCCTCTCGCTCAGTAGGCGGTCTGTGATTAGGAATGCCGCGGATTACTTAGAGAGATCCGATAACAAGGACACATCTTCCATAGGGTTCGCAAAGCGAACCATTTTCAAGACAGCAGAATCATTTGGCTTATAGTGATTAATATACTTGTGGAGATAGAGATTATTCAATTGCCTATTACTTGTCAGTGTTTCCGTTTAAAAATTTGAGCTTGTCAGAGGGTTTAGACATCGCATTTTTTTATAAAAAATATTTATTCCCACGATATAGAAAGAGGTTATTTATTACGCCAAGGGAAAGAGAAGAGACCACTGGGAACCAATAGATAGAAAAGCATGGTAGAAACCTGGAATAGCTCTTAAGGGACAGTTAGGAATAAACAAGCAAAAAGGTTCACAAAAATGTTTGCTTTGAAGCTTCAACCTTTTCTGGCACCCGTCAGTAAGATTACTTGACATATGAGTAAGAAGAAGTATGATGCCATAAATGTAACTCTAAGCTGCATCTACCATGGATTCAATACGACAGGCCTTCTGTTATCAACTTCTCCAATTTCAACTTAGCACATATTCTAACAGGAAATTTTAAAATAAAACATGATACATTTTAGTGCAAGAGCCTCCTGAAAGCGCCGAAATGCTAAACCCAGTGGCTAACCCTCAAAAATACCCCAATAGTACTTCAAACTAACACTACCAGATCTCCAAGATGTAGAATATAAGATAAAGTTGAACTTTAGCACAGGATAAATTGTCTAGACCTGTCAAAGTTGAGTTAATGCGCACAAGCTCACTAACAGTGGCAGATATTAGTGTAGTGATAACCATGCCCATGTGACTTTGAAAAGCATGTGGCCCTCCTGACCGTGGCAAAGGTGAAGACCACAGATAGACATCCCCACACAGACGTATACTTGCTGGTAAGGTTGAGTGACTGCTGAATGTAGGCGGTAAGTAGGTGCATATGTAAACTGTCGCCGAAAAAGCAAACCATCACGTGAGGTTGAAAGCCCACGCTCATCTGCAACTTGGCGTGCAACCGGCTGAAGCAATTGGAAACACACACACACGCACACAGACGGGCCTACGTAGTACTGGCAAGGTTGTAGAAGTAACAAAGCAATTAAGAGACCATCCGAATATGACTAGCTTGATTCGGAAGCTTGTAAGCAAAGTAAACATCTCCATCAAACCCATTGCCACTACAGCGCGCGCAGCCATATGAAGTTTTATGGGCCCACTTAAAGGGATCAACAGGGGTGGGGGGGGGGGGGGAACAAGATATTACGTCAGCTGTTGTGCCTCCTCTAGAGGCCTGGTCTGTCACTAGCGCGGTACTTGTAATTTACGATTTCGATGGAGCTGTGGGCGGAACAAAGCCCAGAACACATGAACATAGTTTCAAACGGCGAACTCGAGTGAATTGAACTACCCACATACACACAGAACAATCGTCTCCTTGTCTCTAGTGCTAGGCTTTTGTAGGGTTTTACTGAATATGTTGCGGACTGAAGAAAATTTCGGAGATGATAAAGTGAGGTCTGCTGGCTAAGTTAGAATGGACAAGAGGGGAGGGGGAGGGGCACTCGTGCAAGATAATGAAATATCACTAGAGCCTATGAATAGAGTGGACAATCTGTATTATCCTAGTAAAGGGAATAAGAGGAAACCATCGTAGTACATGTGATATGACTTCTTCCTCCGAGTCTGGGCGGGGGGTAAGAATTAGAGCGGTTGTAGATGATAGTGCAGTCATGTGATATCGGTCAAAAACTCTTAAGAAATAGGGGTATACATCATATGGCGTGGACCAATTTGTCTACATTATTTAGAATAGGGAAGAGAGAACTTATAGAAGGTAAAATGAATGACTTCAGCTACTTGTTCATACTCAGGAGGGCACCAACTGAAGTCGACCATGTGGGGATAAAGACACTGATATAGAGAAGATACGCACACTAACAACTCTATCAATTCAAGTTTTGTTCAAATAAGGCAATAATAATCTACATGTTTATAGCTAAACTATAGTGAGCGTTGAAATACCAACAAAAGTACCAGTCGATTTGGAATAGGTCGCTACCAGTCATTTATTTGCACGTCAAAAAATCAAACTAAAGGAAGTAGAGAAAAAGGGGAAAAGTGGGTGAGAAGAGAGGGAGAGAGAGAAACAGCAACCGAAACCAGTGCTGCTCCTACTTCCCATTTGTCATTACAATATTTTGTGGCTTCCTTTCCCTTTCGGGGGAAATGAGTGAGCAAAAGAAAGAGCTGGTAGATCGCTTAGGATTGGAGTATTTAACTCAAAGGCAGAAGAGGTGAGCGGACACAAAAGGATGCTTTCGATCATCGAGACAAGAAAGAGCATAACAAAGGCGAGGTAGCTACGAAATAAGCATTACTGCTGTACTTTCCGAGTAAACGCATTGACGAAATGTAGGCGACATATTCCTACCCCCCACCCCACGAATACTTAAAGTGCATTCACATATCGATCATCCTTTTACATTCCACTTCTGACCACGTGGTCTCGCTCATGTTAAAGTGCTTCGTATGCTATTACCCCATGGTGAGTCAGCCCATTTTTAACAAATCCCCCCCCCCCCCGACTCCCAGTTTCTTCATACTAGATGCTATTCTTTAAGAAAATCCTAAATTTGACAAATGGATTCCAAGTATGCTAACATCTTCCAGCAGGGAAGACGTTTCACCCACTGATTACGAATTGGCATGCCTTGTACCGAGAAGAGAATGTGTCAAGATGTAAAGTCCCAATGAGTAAGATTGGTGTAGGTCGTGGAAGTAAAAATAGGCTGTTCTATTGACTCAAATTCAGTAACATTGAACTGAAATTCAGTAGGTCTTTCTTTTTTCAATGAGCCACCCAATGTTACGGGAAGGGGGGGGGGTGGTTGAAACCACCTCATATTCAGGTAGGTAGTAATTGAACAGACTCAAAGGAGAAAGGTGAAACATAAAGCACTCAGGACTCTTTTATCAGGAATATTTCAGCCTTTTGAAGCGGAATAGACCTGATCTTTGGGATACGAAGATAAGATCGGGAATGCTATTTGCCAAAAGACATTCGTGTACCTGTACAATCCTACGAATATTCGGAATTGAAAGTGAGGAAAAAAGATAGAACCAACCAATGGGAGAGGGAGAACGAGAGAAAGGGAAAGGAGGAGATAGCAACTGAAAGCAGCAAAGCTACTTCTCTCGTTATCTCCATCAGCCTTTTTTTTTGCGTGCGCCTTGTAATCACTGCGGAGAAGTTACAGAATGACTCCAAAAGAATAGACCAGTCGCTAAGGCGAGAGAGAGAAAGAGAAAAGGAAGAAGCAAAAAATGTAGTGAGCCAAGAGTCCGAAAGAATTCTTCGGATCTTCTGATAGGCAGAAGAGAGCGGGAGAGGAAGAGAATCGAGAAGAAAAGTGATTTTGAAAAAAATCAAGTGCGCAAACCCCTCCCCTCCCCCCTCCCACTCCCTCCACCTCATCCCGCCCCCCCCCTCCCCGACCCGCCCATCGTTAATCCCTCCCTCCTTTCCCTTTCGATTCCCTCACAAAAAGGCAAGGGAAGGAGAGACGAAGGAAAATCGTAAAGTAAAATGCGATCGGCAATAACCGCACTTAACCAAACAACGCAATAGTAGTAGTGGTAATTACGAAGGCAAAAATGCTCTTCACTACGCAAAGAGAGCGAGCACACAAAAGGTTAAATCTTTCTCAGAATATCCTGCCCTTGCACGATTGCCTTCTTTTTTTGCTAAGGAAGAGCGATTATTGAGGAGGAGAAGAGGCCGAGGGTTAATGCCAAATTTAACCTTCAAAATCACACATACACACACACACGTTGACGTGTAGAGCGGAGTGTTATGTTGTCAGCAAGACAGCAGGGTCTGACAGGTGTGTGTGTGTGTGTGTGTATCTGTTACCTGCAAGATGAGAGCCAAAGCCCAGAGAGAACGAGGGAATTGAAATAGGTAGGCAGGTAAGGGTAACTGGCAACAGGCGAGTTAGTTGGGGGTTGAATCATCATCCCTAGCATAGCTGACAACAAAATAGACAATGGTATCAAGGAGAAGAGAGTCAGAAATGGGGAGGGGGGGGGGGGAGGATGGAAAGCGAGAGGTAACCAGGTTTGAAAGAGGTCTTTACCATACTGCATAGATAGGAAGGTGTAATGAATAGTCCCCCAAAATGAAATAATCACCCTTCATTCTGATTAGAATTAGAAAAAAACAAACACATGCATGATTTTTGCCAGAACCCACGAGCTAGGAACACAGTTGTTAAGATGATCAGCCCAATTCTCTACCGCGAAACAGACACAAATACTTGAGAAATAAAATTACATCCGGGAAGCAAAATGCCACCTATAGGAGATAGGATATTCCAAAAGAGAGCTCTTATACTAAATAAACCAGCGTTAAAAGAAAATAAAATAGAGAAATTTTACATGTTAGAGGTCTTCATGAAACTATGTGTCACATGGGATACCAATACAGTAAGAACCAGAGATTCAGAGGGTAAGGTTCTAAGTAAAGTTCCACCGAATTCCAGCATTACTTCATTTGAAATATGAGGCGTAGATAAGATTAGGAAAGAGCATAAACATAGGGTATAGGTGGAGATCAGACAGTATTGACAGAATAGTGATCGATACCGCACAACCTATCCAGTTCAAATTTGAATACCGAGGCCAACAACTAAGCTTATTCCTTAAAACGTACCACAACTTCCAGTAATTCAAAGTTCGACGCAGTACGGATGCACTAGCACCTATCGCGCAGAGCGATTGGAGATGCCAGAAAAGGTACTTTAAAGGTCGGGTGAAAGAAAAAATGGGAATACCGCGCGATCGGAACAGTAAGGTAATTAAGGTGTTAAGGGGAGGGGGNGGGGGGGGGGGGGGGGGTAAGGCTTATATAATAACATCGACAGTTCGAGCTACTTGATCATTCTTGAAAACGTGAATGACAGCTGTCACGCCTGGAGCTCGTCATTTCAACTCATAATTTAAATGTCTCAAGTGCTGCAACCGCAAATCATACTAGATGCACATTTTGCAATCAACTGCTACAGAGGGGGTGACGATAGTGGTGGTGGTGGTGGTGGGGGGGGGGNGGTGCGGTGTTCTCATTCGTGACAAAGTCATCAGATGATATGAATTCAAAACACACTGACGCGTATCCACATTAGTTGGTGGGATCACCCATGCGTTAATTAGCTGTAGTCTACAGGTGATTTTATAAGAATCTATCAACCGGAAAAGTACAAAGAATAATGCAACGCAATACTGAGCACCAATATTGACACATAAATGAGAACAGAGCTACCCAGAAAACTCTTTTATTTCTTAATTTATTTAAGTAAAAGGCAATTGGCAAGATAATCGAGTATTTTTTATTCAACTTGACTAAAGTTGACAAACGCTGGGAAAAAAGCCTTGAAGATTGTCCTTTTTGGCTCTCTGCCATGCATTATTGACCCTAGCCAGGAAGACAATTAGTGACGTAGTGAAACTGCGTACAAAACTCTCCACAAGACCCCCACTTCACACTTGACTGCATAGGTAAACTAGACACATTTGAGGACAGGAGGGGGGGGGAGGGAGGGAGGGGGGGGGNGAGGGGGGGGGGAGAGAATGGGCAATCATACTCGGGTCGTCGCATAGATTTGTATTAAAGCACAGCAAACAATGTACGAAAAGATTTCATAGACTTACCTCTCCACGTGATGCACCCTGGGCAATGTATACTCATACGGCAAAAAAAGTCTATTAACTGGCAGTTGATTTCTGACTTCAAACCACTATCACCCCCAATGTATGTCATATTCAACTGCTCCACAGTACTCACCTCACCTCTCATCTACCTCTGTGTCTGTCTCTTTTCCATCTTTAAAACACTCTTCTGTTCCCCCCCCCCCCTCTTGACTTTTTTCGATTTGATGTTCCTCCTCCCCTCTGTGAAACCTGAAGTCAACTAAAGGGCTAATGATAACTATCATAAAGCCTGCCATTTGATATAAATAAATAAACAATGTAGGAAAAAATTTCATAAACTGGAGGCAAATGTAGATCCACGAAAAGAAAAACCAGACCACACTTAAAAAAGGTAGTTCGAGCTGCTCATATCCAAAGTTGCGGAGATTAAAAAAAACCTGCTCAAGGGAGAAATTATCATAAAGATATAACTTAACCGCATTCGAAGCAAGTTTTGGATCCAATCATTAATTAGCCAAAGTTTTTGACACTAAACATGAAGTGAGGTAACCATTATCGAATTTGAGGGCACAAATCATCGTCAGGCGAGCAAGCATTATTTTGTGTACTATGGGATGTGGGATAGACTTACCTCCACGTGGTGCACCCTG